CAGTTGGTGGTTCTGTTCGTCTCACCTGGATTTACCCACGTGGGTGAGGTTAGGAGTTTGGGTTTTGGGCTGGATGGGCAATGATAGCTGAGGGTTGTTGGCAAGGACGCTGGGCTCTACTGTGTGCAGTCTCCCCACAGCCCAGCTCCCACTGTTCCCCGGGCTGCTGCTTTGTGAGCGCCAAAACAGAGGCTGCAAGGTATCTGGATTCCTAAGCTTAGAACTCCAGCAACCTCACCTGGACCCCAGCCCGTTGGTGACTGCCACTCCAAAGGCCAATGTTGAGTCAAGGGAGAATCTAAATTGATGGGAGAAGTTGCAAAGAATTCATGGCCATTTAAAGTCTCCTGTGTGGTAGTCATTAGCTCTTGCCTGCTAGGTGGCGTGGGAGGAATTCCATGCATGAACTTCCACATGAAAGGCATCATGCATCCTTGGGAGGACCCCTTCCTTCTGTCATCTGTCCTCGCTTCCTCCCTTCCTGGCCCTTACTACCCTCAATCCATTCTACTAAGGCTTTCCCTGCCAAGGCTCATTGAATGGGCTCTCACAGGCCACCAGTGGCCCCCATCTTGCAAAGCTAATGAGTGATGCTGTGTTCTGTCCACTTATCTTCTCGGGACACAGTAGAAGCTGTGGTGTATGAAGGGGCATTCCCACGGACCTAAATCCTTTCTACATTTCTCTCAGCTTCTCCAAGCATCTCTGTCGCCTGCCTGGCCTTGTTTTCCCTCTCCCTCCCTGGCTGCACCTTCCGCTGCTTTGCTGGTTCCTCTTCCTTTCGGCGCTGGAGGGGTCCAGGCTCTGTCTTTGTCTGGTCCTGCTGTCTGCTGTCCTAATGATGGCACATAGGCCCAAGGTGTCAGCTGATCTGATGACTCTCAAGTTTAAGTCCTACAACCCAGACCTCACCTCCGAGCTCCCCAAGGGATTTTGAAAGCACATCTCAAAAAATAAAATGGCCAAAGTAGTGGGATTTAAAACAAATTTTTTTTGTTGTTTTATTTAAAAGGCAGGGTTACACAGAGAGAGGGAAAGACAAAAATCTTCCCCAAATGGCTGCAACAGGCAAGGCTGGGCCACATCAGAGCCAGGAGCCAGGAACTCCATTCTAGTCTCCCACATGGGTGGCAGGGGCCCAAATACTTGGCAGGGAGCTGGACTGGAAACAGAGAAGCCAGGACTCAAACCGGCGCTCTGATATGGGATGCCCACATCACAGGAGGCTGCTTAACCCACCACGCCCCAGCACCAGCACCGTTCCTGATCCTTGACCCCAAAACCCCACCCCTTCCTTATCGTCCTCACCTTTGTAAATGACAGCAACAGCTGCCTCGTCATTCAAGGCAAGAAGTACTTGGTTTTCTTCACACCACACATCCAGCCCGTCAGTAAGCCCTGCTAGCTGGTCCTCTAATCTATGTCCCCAGTCCAACCAGGTGCCGCCGTGTCCAGAGCTATCCTCCTCATCCAGACCAGAACACTCCTGGCATGGGACTGCTGCCACTGTCCTCACCACTGCCCCCTGCCATCTGTCCATCCCCCAGACAGCAGCCCACTAAAGCACAAGTCACATTGTGAGACTTCGCTGCTCAGAGCCTGTGGCCCTCACTGGAACTAGAGAGAAATCCAAACCATTTGCTAAAGCTATGGAATGTCTTACTCCTCTGCCCATGTACCCTTCTACTCTCCAGGAGCCATGAGGCTCTCCCCCAGGCCTTTCCTGTCTCATGGATCCTACATGCCTTTTCTTCCACTTGGAAGGTCTTTTTTTGCAGACCTGCAGTGGTATCCACACTGAAGCTACCCATTTCACGTGTGTGTCTCCTAAGTGGAATAGCTCTTGTCTGTCTTGTGTGAAGCCACCTCCTCGGAGCCCAGGCGGGACTTCGCTCAGAGTAGAAGCTCAGTCTACACCTGCTAGCTGATCTGCTGACCGAGGATTATAGCTAAGGTCACTGGAGCTGGAAAGAAACAGGGCAACCCCACTGCCTCACAGAAGGAGAAACAGAGGCAGAGAATCACCTGCTCAGCAGCATGGGTACCAGCTTACTCAAGCCAAGTCGGTCGTGTACTGTCCTTAAGTCCTTATTCATAAACCACAGTAGCCACTGAAGGCAAAGGTTAGATGTTTTCTCTAAATCTCTCTGCCAAGTTATCAGGAAAACAGATCTCAGAACAAATTCTGCTGCCCATGCAAATTTCCATAGAAGAAACATTTATTAGTGAGTAGTCACAGAACCGGTTCCTACAACCTCTTCTGTGAAATCAACCGAGGCCCAGCTCTCTGCACTTTTAGGAGCTCGGCCGTCTCGCAGGATGTATCTGCTGGAGGAAATGACAGCATCCGAGGGGCAGCGCTCGGTCAGAGGGACGGCTGCAGCTGAACACCTCGGGTCAGAGGCCCCCGAAGGATTTAAGCCAGAGCATCTTTCCTAAATGAGAACCGGCAGCTTCCCGAGTCTCTGAATATGGAATGAGTGACATCTCAACTATCTTAGCCGGCCTATGTATCTTTTCTCCAAAGGAGAGCTCATGAATCATAGCTGTTATGTTAATTATTCTCATTAACAAGCTGCGGATTTCGCCACTCATCCATTGTGCTATCAGTAGAGCCTCCGTGGGGACCGAGATACTGAGCTGGCTGTTCAAGACTGGGCACGCCTCTTCTTAACTCCCAGATTCAAGGGTTTCAAGTTGGCAACTTGCAATGTGACACAGGGGAAGTATTTACACTGTGGAAATTGATCACAGCCCTGCCCGACTTCCCAGCCAATTTCTAAACATTTTCTGGCACTCCAGAGGACCGCTGAGCAAGCCACCTGACTGCCTCGCTCTCGTGACTGCTTCCAGCACCAGGAAGGCCCAGTCCTGACTGCACTTGAGAAATTACCTGGGGAGATTTAAGATCATCCTGACTGGGTCCGGCTCTGCAGCATAGTGGGTAAAGCCACCGCCTGCAGTGCCAGCTTCCTGTATGGGCGCCGGTTCGCATCCCGGCTGCTCCACTGCTAATGTGCCTGGGAAAGCAGTGGAAGATGGCCCAAGTCCTTGGGTCCTGCACCCACGTTGGGGACCCAGAAGAAGCTCCTGGCTCCTGGCTTTGGATCAGCGCAGCTACGGCTGTTGTGGCCATTTGGGGGAGTGAACCAGTGGACGAACACCTCTCTCTCTCTCTCTTTCTGCTTTTGCCTCTCTGTAACTCTGCCTTTCAAATAAATAAATAAATCTTTCAAAAAAAAAAAAAAATCCTGATCCTCAGGTCCCCGTTGGCAGAGATTCTGTGTTGAGCAGGATGGGGCTGGGATATGAGAAGACATAGTTAACAGCAGCCAGGGTCACATTCGCTTCTGTGCGTCACACATCCCAACGGTCCCACCACAAAGTCATGGTAAAACCAGGATTGGCACCAGGCCTGTGACCCCAGCCTGGAGCTCCTGGCACGGGGAGGGGGTGGGTGGGAGTGGAGCACAGGTGTGCTTCTGAGCTCTCCATGTGTGCAGCTGTGGCTCTGAGCGCCCTTGTGGGTGGGAGGACAGTGAAGGAGGCTGGGAGCCGGGCAAAGCCACGCCAGCTCCAAAGAGCGCCAGGCTCCCTCGGCAGGACCAGCCCCCTCAGCCCGCAGGGCATTTTATGGGGGTTGAAGGAGAGCTGAGAGGGCTTGCTGGGAGGTCTTTGTGTCACCCCAGAATAGCTGATAGATGAGAGAAAGTGCCCCCGGCCAGAGGGGCCAGAAGGATGGCTGGGGGACCCTGGAGGGGGCAGGGCGCTAAGCTGATTTTCCAAGGGCTAGGGAGGGCAGCAGGCCCCTAGGCTAGCCCCTCCGGGAGTGAGAGCAGGCCTGGGTGGTGTACTGGCCCCCAAACGTGAGCCACAAGTTGGTTCTCCTCCGCAGAGGGCAGAAAGGCCAACTCAGAACACTGCCGGGCTGGCCTCTTGGCCCTGGGTTACTCATCCGAGGGAGACTTGCATCAGCCCCTGCTTCCATCTGCAGGCCCGGCTCCATTTGTAACAGCAAACCCATTTCCTTTTACTCTTCCAGACAGGGCATCGCCTCCCGCCCTCACCCCCTTACTTTCTTCCAGCTCTGGTCTCTGTCTCTCTGCCTCTGTCCCTCTGCTTCTCTTTGTGAGTCTGCCCTGGCTCAGGAGCCCAGGGCAGGGGGCTTCGACAGGGGTGCTATTCCTGAAATCACCAGCAGGGATCCCACCCAGCACTGCTGGAGCTCCTGACCTCTGAGCCACGCATTTAATTACTGAATGCCACAAACACAGATGGCCTGGCTCCCAAGCCCCCACCTGAGCAAAACCTGGGAGACGAAAAACAATCGTTGAGTAAAACCGAGACCAGCGAGCAGGGGAGACAGACTCACAGCCACCTATGGCCCCAGGTAGAAGGGCCAGGCCCCAAGGTGCTCTGCTGGGCACGGGCTTGGAGTGGGCGAGGGAGGGGCTGCTGACCTCAGCTGGGTGCAGGCTAGGGGATGGCTTCCAGGAAGCCCCTGGGGGCCTCGAAGAAGGGAATTTCCAACATCTCTTGGGGAAAGGCCTGGAGCAGCCCTGGTGTAGGAGGAACCGGATTCCAGCTCTGCCCCGCTGCGGTCCCTACACGCTCCAGGACACAGCGCTCTGCATATGGAGGCTGGGCACCCCCAATTTCCTACTGCTCACGTGCACTTTTAACACCTGAGCAATTCATTCCGCTCCCATTTCCACAGTCCGCCCTCTTGGCGGCAGCAGCTGAATCTCCGTGTCCGCCGAGCGCTGGCCGTCGCCCCAGCTCACCTCTCGTCCCCCTTCTCCACGCGCCACCTCCGCGCCGGCAGCAGCGGCGCCTCCAGAGCTGCACGCTACCTCTTTTGCAAAACCCTTTCCCCTTCCCCTCCCTCCATCTCCTCTAGAGTCCACGGCCACAGCCCCGCCCCGGCCCGCCCCCTCCCAGAGGCTGGACCACTGGCTCGCTCCCATTGGCCACCGGGGCTGGCAGGCTCGCGGGCAGGGTCAGTGATTGAGGCGCGCCCGTGTCAGTCCGGGAGAGAGCGCCGGGGACCGGGCGCGCAGCCGGACAGCCGCAGGTGGGGCCTCGGTCGGCGGCGGAGGGACCGAGCCCGAGCTGGGGAGCCCCGGCGCCCCGCGCGGGGAGCGCCCAGGATGCCCCGCGGGGACTCGGAGCAGGTGCGCTACTGCGCTCGCTTCTCTTACCTCTGGCTCAAGTTCTCGCTCATCATCTACTCCACGGTGTTCTGGGTAAGTGACTCCAGCGGGGCCCAGCGTTGGGTGTGGGGGTCCCCAACCCCGCCCTGGAGTTGGGTCCAGACGGAGCCGCTTCAGGGAAGGCGCCGGAGCGCTCGCTGGCTCCTTGTCCCGCTCTCCCTGGCGACTGGGAAATTCTGCCTGAGGAGCTCAGCCGTTGGTTCCTTTCAGCCGCCCCGTGCCCGGTCGGGAGTGTTTGAGTCCGTCGCCCATCGTGCGCGACGCGGCTCACCTGTGTGCACCTGATGAGCGGCCGGGGTCACCTGGCGAGTGCGCGGGGCCTCAGAGGGGCGGCCCGGGAGGCTCAGCGTTTCTGAGGGTCTCCCGGTCCGCCTGTGGAGAAGGGGTCAACTTGGTGGTCGGGCTTGGGAGACTCGGGTTCCGGGTCTGTTCAGCACTATTTATTGGGATGCCTCGGAGCTAGACGCTGTCCCTGTGCAAGGAAGATGTGCATGGAGTCCCCTAGACGAAGGCTGGGCGGCTCCTGGGGGCTCAGTCACTATGCCGCTGCTCCTGGGCTCCACTTCCCCTTGGTCCTGCGAGGGGGCAGGGCGGCCGTGGTTGGACATGGACCAGGCTTCAAATCTTGCCCTTCCCACTTTCTGGCTGAGTGACCTCGGGGAAGTTACTTCATCCCTCTGGGCCGTAGTTTCCTCTTCTGCAGACCATAATTATTTCCCACTTTTAGGATGCCTGTGGAGATCGAATGCAACTCAGCCCAGAGAGCAGCTCTAGAGAGCTCCAGAGAATGTGAGCAGGCAGTCTGGACACTGGTGGTGCAAGCTGGCCCGAGGAGCCCTGGGTTCCCATCAGGCCACTTGGGACTAGGCTGGGCGAGGAATCTGCGCCACCCCTGCCCCCAGGATGCCTCAGGGGCAGACTTGCCCAGGGTCCTGGGTTGGGGGATTCACTGACACCCCGAGTTCCGTAGCTCTCTCTCTGGGTCTGTTCTGCTGCCTGGAGCTGCTGGATTTGCCGTCTAACCTGGCTTGCACCTGTGCCTCATGGGTGTGACCTTGCCTGGCAGGCTGGAGATCCCGATTCTAGTCCTGCCTCACTGGGGAGACGTAGGCTGAAGTTTTGGCTGCAGAAGTGCTAACTGACTTTTCCATCTAGACCACTCGCCTGGGGCAGCTTCAGGCCGGTGCTCTGACTCCAGGTAGTGTGGAAGAGAGGTGAGCAGGATGGCTGAGGGCCTGAGGATGGTGCAAGGACCTGTTGGCAGAAGCTCTTGGGAGGCTGGGTGTGGTGATTTTAGCTGTAGTCCAGTGGTTCTCACTCAAGTTTGCATCAGAATGAAGTGGGGGGGGGGGATCTTCAGATTGTTGGGCCCTGGCATAGGTAATTTTAAAATTTGCTGAAGCTCTCCAGGTAACTAATGTGGATTGAAAGTTGCAAGGCAGGTGGTCTTCCAGTAGGTCCCTTTCATTCCCAGGGGTTCTTTGCTGCCCCTTGTCTGGCTGTGGGTCAGAATGGAAAGGAAAGGCTAAGGTAGGTGGATGGGAAGGTAAGAAGGGGAAGGCCACCTCCATTTTCTCATCTGTGAAATGGGTGATACCCTGCTCTGCCCCTCACTGGATTGGCAGTAGGGTTAGTGATGCTTGAGCAAGACAAGTGCAAGACAAAGGCGAAAGATGTAGACAACAAAATGGAACTTGATTTTTCCAGGCTTTGTTCTGTCACCGCCCACTCGCTTCGCTTCTAGAGGGGCAGGGCAGGACTCAAAATCCTTTGCTTTCAGCCAGCCAAGGTTGCCTTTCCCGACCCTCGCCTCCCATCCCTGGAAGTATTTCTGCTTACCCATCTCCCCACCCATGCCAAGCACTCTGCCAGAGCAGCCCCAGGTGCCAGAGTGTGCCTGCAGGGCGGGGCTCAGTTGAGTGAGTAATTTGTCCTGGACTGAGTCTGCTATTAATTGGAAACCACTTACAGGAAAGCCCATTATCTGCAGTGCTGTCCTCGGGAGAAGCGGGAGGAGGGCAAGGGTTACCTCCTTTACACGCCCGAAGCCCTAACACTTTCATCCTGGGTCTGGAGGGGGCTGTGTTTCCCCAAGGCCGTATACCTTCTGTAAGGCTGTTTGCTTTAGAAGTTATCCTTGATAGGAAACACATGGGAATGGTAGGTAATCCAGGAGCAAAGCTTGGTGGTCCGTGACAGGTCTGCCCCTCGCTCTTCTTTCCTGGCCGCCCCTAATCTGGTGGGGGGCTTCTTGTGGTTCTTACCTGAGCTATCCAAGCAAAGAATGACCAGGCACAGGCATTTGTCTCTCTCTATTTCCTCCCGCACAGGACAGTGCACTGTGCACAGAGCTGTGGCTAGCCCCCAGCCTCTTACTTTTTTATTTATATTTAAACCCACATGCAGTTTGAAGATCTGACAAGGGCTGCCTCGTTTTGTTTCATAACTGCATGGACATTGAGCTCTGCCAAAATTTACAGTTCCTGGCTGGGGACCCCTGAGGCTGTTTCCAGTCGTTTGTTACTGAGGCCAGTGATGCAGCAAGAATCCTCCGATGTGTCCCTTTGCATAGTTGTGTGGGTCTGCAGGCTAATTCCTGGAGTGGAGGGGCCGGGTTGCAGGGTGTGTGAATGTACAACACACAAACAGAAACGTGCCAATCACAAGTGAACACGGCCTGCGGAGTTCCCACAAAGTACATGAGCTTGGACCGTCAGCCACTGGGTCCACCAGCAGCGTGGGTAGTGGAGGTAAGAGCCCCTCCTGCCCTCTTCCAGACACGACCCCTTCTCATCAGTGGTGATTGCCATTAGAGCATCCAGCAGTGTAAAACTGCTTTGATGTGTTTTGTAGCACATTTAAAATTTTGATGTTAAGTATACCTATGTAGAGTTTATATCCATTGTAATATTGTTTATATATTTCTTTTAAAAAATTTATTTATTTGAAGGGCAGGTGCTGTGGCCTAGCGGGTAAAGCTGTCACCTGCAGTGCCAGCATCCCATATGGACGCCAGTTCAAGTGCTGGCTGCTCCACTTCCTATCCTGCTCTCTGCTATGGCCTGGGAAAGCAGCAGCAGATAGCCCCAGTCCTTGGGCCCCTGCACCTGCATGGGAGACCCAGAAGAAGCTCCTGGCTCCTGGCTTCAGATTGGTGCTGCTCTGGCTGTTGTGGCCAATTGGGGAGTAAACCAGCGGATGGAAGACCTCTCTTTCTCTCTCTCTCTGCCTCTCCTCTCTCTGTGTAACTCTGACTTTCAAATAAATAATAAAATAAATCTTTTACAAATTTATTTATTTGAAAGCCAGAGGGACAGAGACAGGAAGAAATCTTCCATCCACTGGTTCACACACACCCCCACCCCTCAAATGCCTGCAATAGCTGGAGCTGGGCCATTGCTGAGTGAAGCCAAGAGCCTGGAACTAAATCTGGGTTTCCTACATGAGTGGTAGGGACCCAAGAACTTGGCCACCTGCTGCCTCCTGGGGTGTGTGTTAACTGGAAGCTGGATCAGAACTGAGCTGGGACTCAACCACGCACTGGAGTATGGGCTGTGCACCTTTCAAGAAACTTCTTAATTGATGTGCCAGTGCTTGCCCACTTTAGATATTTCTTTAAAGTGACTTTTTTTTAAAAGATTTAGTTATTTATTTTAAAGTCAGAGTTACACAGAGAGAGGAGAGGCAGAGAAAGAGAGAGAGAGGTCTTCCATCCTCTGGTTCACTCCCCAATTGGCCACAATGGCCGGAGCTGCACCGATCCGAAGCCAGGAGCCAGGAGCTTCTTCCCTGTCTCCCACGTGGGTGCAGGGGCCCAAGGTCTGGGACCGTCTTCTACTGCTTTCCCAGGCCATAGCAGAGAGCTGGATTGAAAGTGGAGCAGCTGGGTCTCGAACCAGCACCCATATGGGATGCTGGCGCTTCAGGCCAGGGCATTAACCCGCTGCGCCACAGCGCCGGCCCTAAAGTGGCTTTTTAAATTTAATTTTTAAAGGAGGCATTCTATCACTACCACCAGTGGGAGTCCGACACCTCTCGTCACAGCTAGCAGGTAGCAGTTAAAGTAAATATAGTGCAAGGAAAGCAAGACACGGTCTTGAAATCCTAATGAAAATGTTGTATGTGCTGAAGGCCATGGCCCTGACACCCATCTCAGCTCAGAAGGCAGGTGGGCAAGGGCTGAGCACCTTAAGGACAAACTAGCACCAAAACCAAGACTGACTCCCGGGTGTGGCCAGAGCGGTCAGAGGGAATTGAACAAGAACTTCTTCATCTGTGGGTGTGTGAATGAGACAGTGACGTCCAGGCCCCACCGGGGGCCTCTTGTTTTTAGAGAGGGGACCCAGGGTCCCGAGGGCATATTTCTGGATCACTTGGTCTCCTCAGTCTCAGCCCAGTGTCCCCTGCGTCCCTCAGATGTCTCCCTGAGAAAGAAGCCCACCCAGAGGGACTCCCCGCCTCTTCCTCCCACGCTGACACAGCTGCCCTCAGACTGCTGCGGACACGCTGCTAATTTTAGCAGTGCCCAGGGTATCCTAGAGATCTGGTTACGCTCTGCTTTCCTTGCTGGCCTGCAGGCTCCTGGAGGTCAGGGGTGGGGTCCATTCATCTCCTTCTAGCGCCAGGCCTGGGGCTGGGCATCCAGTAGGCGCACATGGTGATGAGTCCCGCCTGTGCATATAGGGCAGGGCTCCAGCCCCAGGGCAGAGGCGAGCAGCGGTCAGGTTTGCTGAGGCCTTGGATGTACACCATGGGCTGAGCTCCTCAGGGAGCCCCTGGCTCTGTAGAAAGCACTGGGCCTGTTGCCTGATTGATAGGGTAGGGATACTGGGGCTGGGGGTGTCGACTAACCAAGAGGAACAGAACTTGGTGGGGGTGGAGGGGCTGGGAAGCAGGGAGTGGGAGTGGGTAGGTGGTGGAGGAGGTGCGTGCCAGGGGTAGTGTGAACCTCTTGCCTTCTCCGAGAATGCACCTGCTTAGCAGAGCTTGGCCTGGGATTCTTTTTAGAGTGGACTCCGTGCAAGACAGCTTGG